CTATCAACAGTTGCGCAAAAACTGAAGATCCCTATGATCTACCTTGTATGCAGGCGGTCTACCAACCTGGCAAACAGAAAACCTGTAATTGTCAGCGAATTCGGCGAGTTCGAAAAGTTGGGGAATATACACCTCGCAGTCAGGGGAATCGAGCTTTTCTTTCCCTGAGCGACCGAAAATCACGCGCGTGTGGTGTGGCATAATTGCATGCAACTCAGCTGGCGTGCCGACGCAAATCTCTGGAACTCCAATCGCATTCTCTTGAAACGCTCGCACTAAGATGAGCTTCTACCCTTGTGCTCGTATTAAGATGAGGTGCTCGCGCTAAAACATTTATTCAGGATAGAATAACAAAGAATAGACTGACAAGGTAGTATGATATAGTGATTGGCCAAGGCTTTGGGCCGTGCTTAAGTGTCCAGATACGCCCTGCCCCCTTGGAACCAAGCAGAGAATTACGATAGAGTAGGGAAAACCTGAAAAAGTTGCAAATTTGAAAGTGTCATATCGGTAGACATCCTAGTATAGTGCCCGGAGAAAGCTGGTTAAGTACACTGCGCAAACACGTGATTGCTATGTTTTTTGTTGTTTTTTGTCCTTTTAAAGCCTAAGGGCTGTCTTCAAAACTAGTAGTTTGGTGGAAAATGTTTTTTGGGGCGCACTAACCTAAGCACTCATATTTTATACCCGCAAACTTGCATATAAAGTATTACTTTTTTTACTTCCGATTAAATGTAAAAATACAATAATGATTAAAATATTTTAATATACGCTAATAGTGGCTATGTACTCTGGCTACCTTTTTACATAATCACCGTAATGTTTAAGGCAGTTATAACGTGGTGCAAACCTTTAGATGCTCTCCCCAAAGGAGGCTTCCGCCAAAGAACTAAGTAAACAAGACAATGGTGCTTAAAAATATTTTTTTACGCTCAGAATTTAGATACATACTCCAGATACTCTTACAAATAATGACCACATAGAAGTCATTATGACGTGGCACGAGCTTTTGTATGCTTCCTTTCGTAGGCCCTCCCCTTTTAGTGGCATACGATGTGCAATGTCATAATGGCTGCCTAAATCTATGCCATGATTATGTGGTAAAGTGGCTGGAGCATGTATCTGCAAGCTGCATATACAAATATTTTTCATCGCACCTTTTTTCTCTACACAATTTGTCTGAAGTAAAAAAAAAATACAGCCCTGGTACGAAGAATTGTTGATGTAGCCGTGCTCACAGTGTCCCGGAGTTTACACACAGCAACATATTGTGTCCGAGGTGACATAGAACGATCCGATGCGCTCACTGCCAACAGCCGCCGGTTAAGTGACCTAATGTAGTAACGAAGCATGTCCTCTCATAATGTTAGATGCAAAAATATAGCATCGTATGTGAAAAACCGTACTATTTATTTCTTGCTTCTCACATATTCTTGAAGCTTTTAGATAACCCCGTGCTTAGGCGCAAGAAAAGTTCTAGCTGTAGATATAATTCAGCTTCATTCATTTTTAGCGTCATAGCGCCGTCCTCAACACTTAAATGCATGCTATCATTGTTGCCGACTGCATCACTATAATGAAAACATGTGTTCAAGGCTTAGGGAATGACGTTAGCAGCCCTAAAAGAAGGCTTTAATTTGTATCGAATAAGGTTCGTAGCGGTGAACTATTCTTTAAACAACCCAGATAAAGAAGTGTCTAATTTGACCCAAATAAAAAGTTTTCGAGGTGACCCAGATAAAAAAATATCCGGGGTGACCCATATAAAAGATTTTCAAGGTGACGCAGGTAAAAGATTTTTGAGGTGACCCAGATAAAAGTTCGCCAAGGTGACCCAGATAAAAGTTCTCCAAGGTGACCCAGATAAAAGTTCTCCAAGGTGACCCAGATAAAAGTTCTTCAAGGTGACCCAGATAAAGCATTTTCAAGCGGACCCAGATATATTCGTCACAAATATATCCACCACGAATTTGCAAAAAAGTGGTGGATAAATAGCGGATACATCCGCTACCGGGTTTAGAGTGTAGGAACCAGGACAAGACGACGCTCGAGCAATCGGCTCGTCGGCGTTATGAATGACTCCCGACGGATACGCGAGCACAACCTCAACAGGCAGGTGAAGAAGGGAACGGAACACGGCAAATCTTGCGCACTAACATCTCCGGTCCCGAGAGAAGCGACAAAGGAGCAGACAAAGAAAGCAGACGAATCACTAGTTCACCTTTGCGGATTCGCAGGCGAATCCGCGGTGAAATTGACGCCGAGAGGGGGAATTCCCTTGCCGGTGACGGAATATTTGATCTCGGGAGCAATCGCTCCGGGACTGATTTGTTCCGCGCAGAAAAGTTTCCACGCCGTCACAGCCAATCGGAACGCACGGAGGAAATGGAGCTTGCTGGCGTCGCACCCTGACAGAGTCGCCCGAGTTGTTGGGGTAGCCGCCGGAGTTGTCGGAGTTCTCAAGTTGCGCAAAAGGCGCTGTCTCGCTGGTATCGTTGCGTCGGCAGAAATGCTGATAGATACTAAATCACTCAACCCTGTTCAACAAGAAGCACCTGAGCAACGAAGACACTGCCAACAAAGAAGATATGTGGAATAAAATTGGCATGAGTGGTACGTACGCACGTTGTCTCTGTTTGCTCGTTATTTTATTATTTCCTTCACGTATCGCCGACAGATTGTTACGCATTTTCTCGGCGCTTCGGTTTGGCATTATGTGCGAGAGTAAATCTGCGAAAGCATGTTTTTAAACACCACTCGAGTCAGGGGCTATCTGCTCTGATATCCGCGAGAGACAGGAGCCGTGCGAACGCGACGGGTGGCAACAAATGTGGACGGTGCCGTCTTTTACCGCGGAGTATATTCGGTCGGCGACAAGAGAGTTTTATGCGAGTTTGAACGCGGCCGAAGGGTTAGGCGTGCTCGAGCGCTTGTCAACTTTTTAACATTTTGTCAATGTGCGATTTCGGTGTTTTTCTGCAAAATAAGAGCGAAAATGGCAAGGTTCCGTGCGCCCCAAACTTAACGCCGCCACGAGATGGTCCGGTTTCTTCACTTTTTTAGCTATTCCTGACCCTAGCAGTCGAAATAGTTGGTGAAGATTTGTGTCGCTGATGAAAACTTATCCAGAGGAAGGTATTCCAGCAGCTGCAGCAATCAATTTATCTTTGGGTAGCATGCGATAGATCAATATTTGCGAAACCGAGTGGCCGCGTTAAGTTTGAGGGGCACATGTACATACCTCACAGGTGATGTCTTCCTGCTTCTTTGTGCATACAAAGGCGTCGGCAGCGATATGGGCTTATCGGGACCGCCAACTGGGGCCGCCGATGCCCGCTTCTATGTCCTACTATACCGAAGCGAACAAATGCATGGGACCCTTCGCTATAGATTATTATATTAACTCTATGATGTCGACAAAGAAGCTTCGTACTCAACGAAAGGTTTGTAGACTGCACTTCGTGTCAGGTGGGGAACCTCTTTGCGATTGACTAGGAGAAGAAAATATTCTGAAATTGTGGTTATACAAAGGCAGCTTTAGGACTCTAGGGCACTAGTGCTGCCGCAATAAAACGCCGAATTGCTGCAACATGGTGCCAAGCCCCTGGTAGCAGACGACGATGTTGGTTTCTATTTCGACTCTAACCGAAAGTGACGAGAGGTACAAGAAGCCTATATGAATTACATTGTTTAGTTGAACACGTTATACATATGCATTATGCTGTCACACTTCGCAGACCATTGGTTGCTCATGGGCAGGGAAATAAAAATACGATGATGAAAATGATGATGACGATAATAAGGATGTTGATGACGATGATGCTTGGTTTTCCAAGTGTGTCGCGGTGTCCACTGTGACGCTGAAATTCCTGAGGGCGGAAGCCGAAGCACCATGGCTAAGGGGTAACACCATGACCTTTCGGCGGAATTATTTTAGTGCCGAAGTAAAAACCATAAAATAAATAAGAAAAGCAAAACTGGTAATAAATTTTTTTCGTTTTGGCTGAGATCGCCACGCGCTACGAAGGCCTTTTTGGTTCCTGAACACCTTTTGGAGAAGAAAAAATAATTTTGTTCAACAGAACCACGGGACCAACAAACAAAACGTATTCAGTGGAGGCGTTCAAGGTACCCTCCCCCTCCCCCCTCCTTACCTCTGATACTATTAAAGACGCAACACTCAAGGAGGAAAGTGATGGTGACAGTTTTTGAAACTCAAAGGGGTTCCTGCTGATTGATTATCTGGAAAGCAGCAGGTCGCGCAGGCGAATCTTATGCCAACGTTCTCCGCAAACTGCCTGAGGCCATCGTGAAGAAGCGACAAGGATTGTAAACAAGAGGAGTCCTTCTGCTGCACAACACCCCCCTTTCGCTAATCTCGTGTAGGCCAGGCTGTGATTCAAGAGCGTGCTTTTGAAGATCTTGACCGCCCACCTTACAATCCCCATCTGGCACCCTGTGTCTTTTTTTTCTTCCGTAAACTGAAAAAATACCTCAAGGGAACAAGGGTCGATAACTTGAACTCAGTGGAAACTGCCTAGAGTACTGGCCAAGCAAATAAACATAACGTTTTTTTTTTGTTTTTTTCTTTATCTTCGCAAGGTTTCAGGAGGTTTTTTTAGGCAGATGGGAGATGTAAAAACTATATTGTCAAAACAAAACTTTTTTTTTTTCATTGCCATGGTAGTTTTTTTTTATATTCCAGTTGCAATATTTTTTTTAAATCAACCTGTGTATTTCCGTTCTTGTTCACGCTGATTGCCAGAGCCAATTTCGCGCAGGTTGTCCAGCTGGCTAAACAACAGTTTTGCTGCCAAAAAGAAAAGGAAAAAAAATATCCATTATGTGCAGAAAAGTACTGGTAGACCCAGCATACAGCGCACATAAAATTGAAGCATTTCTTAGTGCTAAGTCATTAACACAATTCGCTTTTTTTCGGTACGGGAATGGCGAGAAATATGAGGAGCGGTCTCGATGGAAACTTTCCCGTCTACGTAGAAATGAATGCTTTGGAGCTTGCTCGAGAACTGGTAAACCAACAGGTAAGTGGACGGAGTACCCGAAAGTTATTAGAAGCGCAGGTGTTGGCGCCTGTAAGGGTATGCGGCCCAACAAGTTTTTACCGACACAGAATGTGCTTATTGGCTAGATTTTATGCAAAAAAAAGTTATGTTACGATGTTATCCGTTACACCCAGCATACACACATCCCATGAAGGCAGAGCATAACCACACAAATCATATATAGACGTACTTAGTAATAATTAATGATACTTAATCAAGCTTCAGCTTGGCTAGGTATGACTCAAGGGGTCTTGCGGTAGTAGGTGACTTTGCAGCTGGCTTCCAAATGGCGAAGCGTAGTTCCTCATGCAGGCCTTGTCTGCTAGCTAATATCTGCCATATGCCTTTTGTTTCTCAGGCACGCAAACCCACAAAGTTTCCTTTTTGCCATTTTAACGGTCGTTTTCAGCGCAGACGCGTTGTAGGTATCTAGAATCTATACAGAAGTGAGGAAATAAACCGGTGCTCATTGTCCAAATCACGTCATACTCGCCACAGGAAACGGACGAGGCCTTCTTTATCTGCGACTTGCGAGACTTGGAGCAAAAGATGAAACTGTGGCAGCAGGAGTTGCCACAAGTGACACCATACTACGGTGAGGCGGTTCCCCATCTACTTGTTCACATGTTACGTCTTCGTTAGCGCACTTTGCTCATTTACAGAAAGGAGGAACTTAAGATCGTTATTTATGAGCATGATTTAAATGTTAAATTTTGTAGATACCTTGAGGAGATCGGTCCTGGCTAAGTGCGTACTCGTTGCCTTCCGGTGTGTTTTGGCTGGGCGTGCTCACCAGACGCTGAAATGTTATCGAACGTGGGGTGGGCTAGAAAGCGAGGTTTTCTCATTACCTGCATCTTTGCAGTTCAGTTTCTCATGACTGAAGTAGATGGCACGCTCATCGAATATGATAAATGATGAGTCATTAACCACGCGCACTTGGCCGCGTCGTCGCGCGTGCTATGATCATGGAGTTTTGAGAACTGACAACGGTGGCCTGGGGGGCTACTAACCGCTCTTTCAACGCGTTACGGGTTATATCGTTTCTTGTAAAATGTCTTCAATTGAGAGAATAATCTCTGGTCTTCGTGAAAATGTAGCAGGCATATAATGGACATGACAATTGAGCAGACAGACATGGAGACATGATGACACCCTTTCCTAAAAGTATACCCTCGTGGAACCTTATGTTTAGAGCCCTACAGGCCCGCGGATAACCCGCCGATCATCTGCGGATATCCGGAGGTGGCAGATGCAGATCCGGATCGAACTAAATCACTATTGGTGGGTTGCGGATCGAGTGCGGATGGCAGGGGCTGTGGATGCGGGTCGGATGTGGATATCCGCTGGTACGAGTCTATATTTTTGCCGAGGCAGCCTATAAAAGAATGTTGAGTGAACAAAGGCCCGACCACACTAGGGTCGCGGAGGCTTGCCGCGCGCCGCTGGCCGCCGCGGGCTGACGGCTAAAAGCAGTTTTCGCCTTCAGCAGCTCGCCACTCGGCGCCGTCAAGGGAACGTGCCCGTGCGCTGTTGAGGGCTCGCCGTTTCTGGTCGCAGGAGAAAGGAGCCAATGGGATGTGGCGTAGGTTGTCACGTTGCGATGCCATGGCAACGAGCAAGCTGCTTTTCCGCGCGTCTTTGACGTTGCAAAGGAGCGTAGCGTTGTTTCATTTCGTCTGCTTTCCCCATTTCCCGAATTCCTTTCCACATGGAGCGGTTCCTCGTAACTGTGTGACTATTTTCATTTTGATATGTCAAAACGTGGTCAAGACGCCGCCGTATACCTAGATAAGGGTGCTAAGAGAAACTGCTGGGAAATTATCGAAAATTAATTCGGAATAACAGCTGAGTTTCTCCGTGGCACTTGTCGCATCACGCCTACGCTGTGAAAGATGTCATGTGGATTTGATGACACTCAAAAGTAGCCTTCATCCTTCATCTCTGGCACGAAGCCGGGGCAGCAAAGCACTGACCTGCCTTCGGTGTTTCGAAAGCACCCAAACCTGCGCCTCCTTCCCTTCAGAGCGCGGTGACGTCGCAAGATCAACGAGCAGGCTAGGATCATCGCATTCACGCTGATCACCAGGTCATCATCGACACCTACCATGTAGGCAGCGTTAGATACTTGATATATGCAAAATATGAAAGCCGAAACGGAATTTCGGCTTTCATCCGTGCATTTTCAGCCGATTTTCGCAAGTTAATTTGTTATATGACTATTATACCGCAAGGACAAAGAAAAATTTACTGTCTGTTTACGTTCTTATGATAAAGTCACCATATACTGCTTACAACTAATCCCAAAAGAAGCAGGAATCTAATGGCCATCCCCCTATACCGAGCGAAACAAACTAAATACTGTTGCGACTGGGAGGGGACAGTCTCAGGTGCGGAATCAGGAGTCGGGGTTGTGGCTCGGTGATCGCATAGCCCCGAGGAAACAGACCTGGAGTCGGATTACTGAAGTAGAATTTTTATGTACAGTGACTATCCCTGTAGCTGGACGACATTTTAATCAGCGTCTAGGGATCCTTGGGCCCAGGCTATATAGCTCTCCGAGGGCGAGAAGGCTTTCGGATGGTGAATTTCACTCGCAGATTTCGAGCGCTCCAAAAGGGCCCCATTTTGGAGCGAGCAACTTCAGTTGGCACATCGGGCTCAACCTGGTCATCTTTCACTCGTAGATTTGTGGCAGCGTCTGCCCCGTTTAGGGCCTCCCATCCCGCCGAACTTGATCAATGGGGTTTCAGAGAGCTTGGCGGAAGTTGACACTGACAGAAGCGCGCTACGTCATTTCCTCTAACACGGCATTGCGCAAGCGCGGCGAGGTGGCCGGACCGGCTGCGCCGTCGAGTTGGATCAGTTCCGATGCGTCGATTGTTTACGCCGGAGTTTAACGGCTTGAACGCGTCTACCTCTCGTAGACCAGCAATGCAAAGCCGGGACTGGAGCGTGGCAAATCGTATGCGCTAACATCTATGAACGTGAGAGGAAGAACGAGAGAAAGAACGACAAAAAACTCGAAGGAGGCAGACGCAGCGTTAGGCCTGTTCATTTTGCCGCCACTGTTATTGTTTACCTTTTTACACTGCATGCCGCCGGCGTTTTCTCGTGCAATAAAGCAAGACCAGATTAGGCAACGACCGTGGAAGTGATGGATTGCTACCTCTTTGTGTTTATTAAAATCTTACCAGCAACCTGAACTCCATCCACCGATGACGATCGCTATGCGTGCCCTGTCGCTTCGAGGCGGCCGAAAGGTATGTGACGGTGGCGAACGCGGGCGTCTTCCTTGTTATTTGTGACATGGGCTCCGTGCCACATATATTTCGCCCGGCCTGTGTCGCGTGGTTTTTCTGCAGCTAAGCAGTGACGGTTGCGAGCAGCCGTCGGAAAGTTCAGTCGACTGAGGCATTGGCCTATACGGTCGGCCAGTTTGAACGGCCGACCTTATCGGGCGGGTGGGCGGGTCGCTGAAAAAAGTAGTTTATCTTCCGCTCGTCGATTTTAAAGCGGATCAAACAGAGTGGAATTTCGCCTCCCTTACGGATTTCGGAAAGAACTCCGAATCTGCCAGTGGAATTCACCATGAGGGAGGGGAGCCTACCGCGGAGTTCGAGTGTTCATGTGGTGTTCGAGGTGCGGGGACGGCTGATGTAATTGCCCTGTGTTCTTTCAGCGAGGGGCAGATGATGCAACCCGGTGACTGATGCAAGGTTTCGACGCTCATGCCGCTCGAGCTAAAACGCAACACCGACAGACCCACCCACCCCCCACACACAAACACACAGACACACAAACACACAAGCCGCTGTTTGTCCTTGCGAGGGCTGGCAGTCCCAGATCGTCTCGTGGCTTCCGAAAGACTTTCTTTTTATGTTTAGAGCCCTCAGCGAGGCCTCCATCCGCCTGATGTCTCAGGGGTTCTCCGTCCCGGGTAGAGTAGGGTGTTCTCAGGGAATCTCCCCTTCAGCGCTCCCGGAAACATAACAATACACGATTGCACAGAGGACGTAAATATTCAGACCTAAATTTATTTATTTATTATGCCGAGCGAACGAATTTCCAGCACGTAAATTAATTGATAATGTGATAATCTTTGCTCATTTGTCATTGGCAGAAAGGGACTTGAGACAACAAGAAATATATGTATCCTTTTATACATACAGGCTGTCCAAGGTTACGTTTATGTCCATTTACATTAACACGTGCGAGTGGACATAAAAATGTTTAGAAGTTACGTTTAGAATAAACAAAAAGATATTCCACCTGAGAGTTCCTTTTTGTGGGACAATAAACTACAGATCATCATCAATGTGGTCACCATTGATTTCCTGTAAATGTTTAGGAGATATTCTAGCTGCTGCCACGCGTGGAGCTATAGCTTGACCATCAAGATCATCAGACATAACAGCCCGTGGCTTTCTGCTATGAGGTTTTTCTTACCACTGACTTTTCAAGAATCCAATAGTACACGTATATGGATATACATAAAGGGGAGGATCTAAACTGCTGCCTCAGAAATCGGTACGGATATGCGGCAGCATACGTAAAAAGAGCTGAAATATCGACTTTGCCATTTTACGAAAAGGTAATGATGCACACTTTGATATTACGCTCCTAATGAGCGTGTTGGCAAAGCATACTAGATAGCAGAAAGAATGAAACACAGAGAGGACGAAACATCCTATGTTTTATTATTTATGTTATCTAGTACACCTTGAGGGTTTCTAATTCCATGAAAACAGAAAAATCTTATTTCGAGCAATGATTTTTTTTTTTTTTTTTGTAAGCTTAACCTTTACAGTACATCTTTTGTGCCCACTGAAACTTGTGAAGATCCTTCGCGAACATCCTGGCCGGTTATGTTGCGATTCAGTGGCTAAGATGTGCTAGTTGAATTTTCTGGAGGTATTTTCTATACTTGTTAAGAAAAGTGAGACATTTTGAGGTGAAAAAGAATGAAAGAATGAAACTACTGCATATTCAATCTGGTTTCAGCCGTAAAAGCGTGTACGGATCCGGTTATTCTTCACACCATGAAGTCACTTGGGGTTGGTTTCGACTGCTCTAACAAGGTAATCTTTTTTTCGTACATACTTTAACCACGCATTCATTGCCTCGATTTTTTGTGTAGCTAATATTGTGAAATTAGAAGGTATGTGAATAAATTGAATAAGTGGCAATTCAAATCTTAAGCCCACTTTTGGGTTTTTAATGTACCACTGCCACTTTTGGTGACAAAAGTTAAAAAAAATAGGGCAGCTTAGCGAAAATAGCTAAATAGAGAGAGAGAGAGAGAGAGAGAAAAAAGAGAGAGAGAAAGAAAGAGGTGAGTGTTTGCTTGAGTAGAAAATGAAATGCTTGATTTAGATAAAGAAGATCCAGCTGATGTGATGGGTTGCGAAAGGAAAGATATTAGAATTATTCTAGGGGAATATAACATTAATTTGGGAGCAGTAAGGAATAAAGTAAAGCGCACTTAATAATAGGATTGGGAGTATTGTTTGTAAGACAAGGTTGAGCGAATGCCTTCAGTAACAAAATCTTCCTGGTACTTCTCGTGCCTGCATAACAATGTCTCCAATGGGGGGAAAGAACACGTAATACGAAGCGCAAGATCGTCTGCTTCTTGCATAGTAGTTGCGGTGACGTCAGGACGCCAAGCACTGATTGGCTTCGATTGGAAGGATAGTTGGTAGCCGACAAGGCACCTAGCGTTGAGCTCTACCCACTATCCTTCACTCGGAGCCAATCAGAGCTCGGCATTGTGACGTCACCACCACCCCTGCGCAAGGAGCAGACGAGCTTGCGCTCCGCAAACATTTCAATTAGATAAAATTCAAACCGAACCCTGAAATCTGATATACTGGTTAGCACCCAACGTGTGGTGCTGTCCAGATGTCATTATATCTTGAACTCGCCATTAGCATGGTGCCGGAACGCGTCTGAGACCTGTTCTGTTTACCGTGTCTGCGTTCCTGACCATTCGTTTTCCGTCTCGTGGCGACAGAACTGGCGGATTTAGTCGTTGGTCTCCATCACGGTGGTATCACAGCAGCGGAGAGGGATGTTGCTGACGCCTGCTTTGTGCTACGTCGCGCTAGTGTGTCCCAACCCTCCGCGCAGCGGAGGGTTGGGACAGAGTGACAACAACGATCCTTGCGTCTGTGCCCAACTTGCTGGCCAGTACTTAAACAATCGACGGGAGAGCGCCTATAGAGCGCGCGACACTAGAGCGCAGACGTTAGAGCGCGCGACACGAGGGCGCTGCGACAGTAGCGCGCTTGACATTAGAGCGTACGTCACGAGAGCGCATGACCAGTTGAGCGCGCGACACGAGAGCGCACGACCAGTTGAGCGCGCGACGCGAGAGCGCACCTTATTTGAGCGAACACCGCAAAATGTGTGATGCACCCGCGGCTCCACAGACAAAACAAAATTGTGCGACTCATCGGATTGAAGCATTGGTGGTTTTTGATTGATTGAATGTGCCTTTAATAAAAAATAAAAATAAAACGGGTATGACTCAGAAATTTCTAACGAATTCTTTACTGAGATCGGAGAGAAAAGGGGGCGGGGGAGTGGGCTGGGGCATATAGGTACCGGCAAAGTTTGCAGTTGAGGGGAGCAGCGAGTCTAAGATTTCTTCACAGTGCTGCGGTGCGCCTCTCGGATATACTATAAATAGTTTACATTTTGCTATATTTGGTCTATTCTTGACAGACATTTGGGCTCCGATCTATTTTTTGGCTATTTAGACGTCCCTTGCATAAGTTTAAATGGTATTCTGACGTCCATGTCCGCAAAGAGAGGTGCTGGAGGCGCATGCTATCGAAAAAGCTGGCGCGGGGCACTGCGTCAGCGGACCTTCTGTTCACCTTCACAAAAAAGAGATAGATTTTACAGATGACTGGTGAGCGACACGCCATTGGTTGTTTCAGCGTTGGTTGGCTGTGTGGTGTTTTCTTGTTTGAGCCGTTTTTAATAAAACTTCAGTTGATAGTCAGCGCTTGTCCTGTGCTCTTCTCTCGTCGTTTTCGTCTTTTTGCGCGCTGTTTCCAGTTTCCGAAGCCATGAACCAACTCGCTTGCATCGCCACCTTAGTAAAGAAGAAAGCTCACCGCTAAAGATGTTTCAGTAAAACACTGGTCGAAGGAAAGCTCAGCGCAATTTTATCGGACGCAGATCTTTCCAGTCTTTTGACGGATACAGGAAAAGCTCCCCTGCAAATCTGTGATATACAAACTCAAATAACTAATGAAGCTAGGTCAGCTGCATTGTTTTTTTCTGCGAAAATGCACGCTACAGATATGCTTTTTTTTTTCTTCTCTCAGTTCTTTGTAACACTTCTTGGTTTGACACACGCAAAAATTTCGTCGACTCATTTTGCAGTGTCATTGCTGAATTCCGCGGCATAAATCCCTCCCAATTTTACATAAACCACGCGATGCCCGAACAAATGGTCGGTCCGGTGGGGCCACTCGCGCTGGACTGGCTGTGCGCTCTCGTGACGGGCGCTCCCCTCCGCTAAGCCCCTCCGCTACCCGGAACTCTACAGCGAAAGCCATCGGCATGCAGGCGCAGTGGCGTTTTCCTCGTAGCGGAGGTGGAAACACGGTCTACTAAAACTCCCTAATAGGGAGTTTTCATAGACCGCGCTACCCCCTCCGCTAAGCGTTCCGCAACGAAGAAGTCGCTACTGCGCCTGCGCGCCGATAGCCTTGACTGTGGAGTTCCCGCTATCGTAGCGGATTGCGGAGGGCCTTGCGGGATGGCGAAAACGATCTACGAAAACTCCCTAATGTCGCTGCGCACTAGAGTCGCGCGCGCTAACGTCGCAGCGCTCTTGAGTCGCGCGCTCTAACGTCGCGGCGCTCTACTGTCGGCGCTCTTGTGTCGTGCGCTCTAGTGTCGTGCACTCTAGTGTCGTGCACTCTAGTGTCTTGCGCTCTAGTGTCGTGCGCTCTAGTGTTGTACAGCCCAATCGACCAACAGGAACGAGCGTGACAAGCTGCAACTGAGTCTTGTGACGTAATTTGTTGCTACTTCGAGACCACGTTGGGTGCATGGTCGCTATCCGACGCTGAACACAGCAGTCATAGTCGCGCTCCAGACACCGTACTCTATCAGCGATGTATATTTGTTTATTTATTTATTTTACCCTCAGGGCCATAGACGTTACAGTGGGGAGTGGGTTAAAAAAACACATAGAAAAAACAAACACCAGCAAAACGGCAGGAGGACTTATGTTGTGTGAAGCAATAACATGTTAGTGAAGGCATCTTTAAAACTCCCACTGTCCGTGATTTCGGCAACATCCATGAGATGTTGATTCCAATGTAAAGAGGTGCTGGGAATTAAGGAATGATAATATGCGTTAGACCTGCAGGATGGAATGCCAACTTTGAATCTATGATCGTTCCGTGCTGAGAGATAAGGGGGTTGTGTCAGTAGCCTCTGCTTGAAAGATGAATTATAAAGATATATTTTGTGGTACAAACTCAAGCTAGCCACTTTTCTGCGCATAGTAAGATTAGGCAAGGATAAGCGGGTTTTCCTTACGGTTACGCTGGCGGTACGATGGTAATTAGAAAGAATAAAGCGGGAAGCACGATTTTGGACGGATTCTAATTCAGAAACGAGCGATTCAAGACCGGGGTCCCAGACAGAGGCGGCATATTCAAAGTTATTTTGAACAAAGGTTTTGCAAAGAATGAGTTTCAATAACGTGGGCGCTAAAAAAAAAAAAAAAAAAAAAAAAAGGTTTCTTTTAAGGTAACTAAGCATGCGATTAGCATTGTTAACGATATGTTCAACACGATCTTTGCAGGATAAATCACAAGTTATGTGCACTCCCAGATACTTGTAGGATGGCACATATTCAAGAGGAATGTTATCAATGGAGTAAACAAAACGTGTTGTGTTAAGACGAGACACACGCATGTATTTACATTTAGCTGTATTCAATTTTATGCACCACAAGCTACACCATTCAGAGATAGAGTTAGCATCAGACTGAAGGAGAGATATGTCAGAGTCATTAGTAATATCACGATAAATAACAGTCATTTGCAAACAGACTGGCAGATGAACATACATTGTTAGGTAGGTCGTTAATATAGATAAGAAATAAGAGGTTCCCCAGAACAGAGCCCCGGGGGAACACCTGAAGTGACTGGTGAAGGTTAGGAATCCACATCATTGACAGTTACAAACTGCGTTCGATTAGTAGGAAACGAACGTAGCCATGCAACGACGTTAGGGTCTAAATTAAGTTTGATAAGCTTTTGATTAAGGAGGGAGTGAGGTACCTTGTCGAAAGCTTTAGAAAAATCTAGGAAAATAAATACAGTCTACCTGAGAGCCGCGATCAAGAATGGAATAAAGGTCATGGGTAAAACACAAGAGCTGAGTTTCACAAGAAAATTATTTCCGGAATCCATGTTGAGGATTACAGAAGTAAGAGTTAGACTTTAAAAACTTAGCAAGGTGAGAGTATATGACATGTTCAAGAATTTTACAGGATATGCTAGTAATTGAGATGGGACGATAGTAAGTTGGAGAATGTTTGGCACCTGATTTAGGCAAAGGAATAACTCTCCCAATCTTTCAATCGTCGGGGATAAAATCAAGCTCTAAAGACTGCTCAAAAAGTTTGGATAAAATAATTGCAATGTACATTTTCGTATTTTTCAAAAAATTATAACTGATGTTGTCAATATCAGCAGACCACGAACTTTTGAGAGTATCTATCACACTGCTTATGCCTATAGTGTCAATACAAATTGGATCCATTGCAAAATATGCATTGGTAGAAAATTCAGGAGTACAAGAAATCTGAGAAGAGAACGCCAACACAAACATTTCGTTGAAGACACTTGCACGATCACTGCTAGGAATATCACCACCATCGGTATTTCTGAGAAACACGCCACACTTATCATTCTTATTTACAGAGTTCCAAAATTGGTTGGGGTGATTAATCAGCATGGTGGACAAGGTAACATTAAGAAACGCATCTTTGGCGTTCGTAATGGCTGTCTTATAAGCAGGAGCTGCGGACGCTTAGGCGTCCCAGCGCTGCTGAGAGTTAGAGCTTTTCGCAGATCGAAAAATACGTTTCTTCTTATGAGACAATCGTTTAAGGGATCGATTAAACCACAAACACTGGCAATTATAAGTAACGGATCTTAGCGGTATGAAGATGCTCATGAAAGAATCAACTTTCCATTTAAAGAGATTTCAATTTTTTCCAGGGAGTGATACGAAAATTGTTATAAGTAGTCATTTAAGAAAAGGCAGAACTCACGATTAATTGATTCAAAGTCCGCTCTCTTATAATCTCTGGCGCGTTTCGTATTATCAACAGCACGAAATACTCTAGCCTTAAGCTCAAAATGAATCAATGAGTGGTCACTCAAGCCAGGGAGGCAGGATATAGAAGAAACAATGTGGGGCACAGTAGAAGAAATACGGTCTAGGATGTTTGATGTAGATAACGTGGCACTCGTAGGTTGTGCAACGAGTTGCGAAAAATTGAAATCAAGACATATATGTAAAATGTCGTAACATTCCCTTGAAAAAGGATTCGTAAATGGTCGTTCGCTCAACCATACTGTGTGGGGATATTCAAAGTCGCCCAGTAAAATTAGTGGGAGACTAGGAAAACGAACAGAAACTTTATTGATAGCATTATCTAAATTTTGAACTAAGTTAAAGCTACTGGACGGGGGAAGATAACAGGCTCCCAAAATTAACCCCGAGTGACGCAAGCGAAGATGAACAGAAACAATTTTCAAGTTGTTACTTATATCGACAAGGGATGATTCAAATCAGTCAGACAGAGCAATTAAGACGCCACCACCGCACTTTTGGACTTTATTCTGTCGGTACACACTGAAATGCTTGTTACAATTGAAAGGTTCGCCGTTATCAACCTTTACTGAAAGCCAGGTTTCAGTCAAAACGATTATGTGAGCATCGGTGGAATCAATAACAGAACAAAAATCGTCCCTTTTTGAAAGAATGCTACGAATATTAGTAAGCAGAACAGAAATTTGTTTTGGCAACGATGATAAGCTACTGCCTCTCACGACTCGTCATTGCCGGGCGTTGGAAGCCAAATCAGTTTCGTCGTCATCAGCTGGTTTTTGATAAACCTGAGTATTAGACGTGTTGTCGAGCTCACAGACACTGTCGATAAGGGTATTGTAACTAAAACACTTGTTGTTTATAGGAGATTGTTATAGCGCCAATTTAAATGTACCATTATGCGACTTGCAAAATTCACAAGCTTCTTCTTAAATACATTTCTTTAGAGAGAGTTGAAGACAGTGCTCGACATGGGCGTAACACCCGATCGCATCGTGTACGCCAACACAGTCAAGAGTACTTCCCACTTGAAGTACGCCTCTGAGCACGGTGTTACCTTGATGACATTCGACTCTGCAGAAGAACTGGTGAAGATGGATGACAAGAATGCAAGGTACTTTCAACATTCGGTTAACGGTTCATGATTTTGCTTTCTGTTTTGGTTTTTGTTGTATGGCTGACTTGTTGCCTGACCAAAAGTCACAGATGACACGACTGCCAGAACGCTTGCTCCATGCTAACACTTCCGACAAGAAGGGAGATAGGTTGTAAGGGAAAGAACATGAATCAGTGGTGAGAAGAGAGTGCGTTGAATTTCCATACGTTTATAGGATGGTGAAACAGAAGTGGTTTATAATGGTAGTTATGCCTCTTTCCTATTTCTTTTTTCTTAATAAACATTACCCCCTGTTTTCTCTTTGAAATTTATTTACTCTTCTCTTTCTCTTTTTTACGTTATAATGTAGACGCTGTAGTTCTTGAGATTAATATTTTTTTCCGCATACAACACATGTTATCTCCATTTTCTTCTCTGGCTATGAAGTCGACGTAATTTATATTGATAGCGATTTCTCCAAACAAAGCACATATTATTTTTCTGTCTGAATCCCCCCCTATTTCTTCCGGCCATGCTCGAAAAATATATTATACGGGAACCCCTAGCGTTCTACGGCTAGCCGAGCCAATACATGAGGCCAGTGTGTTATGAGGTCACAAGACGCTCGGTCTCAAGCTGTCGCAAAGTGAAATATGTGTCGTCGCTGGATTTCTTCCAGGTTCCATGTGGGATGCGCCTACACTGATCCGGACATCTTCGTCCACACCATTGAACACGTCAAGCGCGTCTTTGACTTGGGCACCGAAATAGGATTTCGAATGAACGTGCTAGACATCGGCGGTGGATTTCCAGGAGGAGTTAGAAAGCAGGATGCGATGGCCGAGGCAAGTTTCCACGGAACCGCTACACCAGGACTGGCCCACAAGGACCTCCTGGGGCAAAGCTGAGACTTCAGCTTGTCATTCATAAACAGTAATTTTAATTTGTGGTGTGTATGTTCAGACTGCCGGAAGTTTGTCAGCCTCAATAACTTTTGGTGCCCCAGCTGTTGATGAGAAAATTCACCAGCGAAGACGCAGTCTTGTACACGTTACTCAAAACAAGTAATCGATTACATTTACTTTTGCTTAAGAAGTATCAAATTAGATTACTTGATCAATCAATACGAAAAGTAATTGGCCGTTACTTGAAAAAGTATCAGTTACTTCTCCCATCACATCAGATTTTCAAATCGATAGAGCTATATGGCAGTTTGAAAATGGGTATTTCGTGCTGTTAAATATTGAATTAAAATCACACCAAAAAAAACTATAAACCGTTTATATCGTCGTAAACCATGAATTGCGGTCAACCATTCTGTTAGAAGTTTGGTTCGAGGATTCCTTGGTACAAAACTTGTGCGAACAAAGGGCGCCATTAAAACGGGAAGAAAACAAAGTAACGGCTACAAGTAATGAGTACTTACAAAAGTAATCAGATTGCTGTTGTGATTACTTCCTAGTAAATGTAATCAAATTATTACAAACTTACTCTAAAAGTGATCGATTGTAAAGGGTACCGTACAAATCTGCGAAGGTCTCAGTACCGGTCAGGGATTTTTAAAGCGCATAACGCAGCATGAACCGCACACCGGTACAATTCTGACACGGATCGAAACGGGCAGGGGTGGGGACTGAGCCCAGGATCCCTGGGTTCTGCAGCACGAGCTTTCACTCCATGCGCTCTAAGCTGCGTTGCCCTAACTCACTCGACCCCGATCCTCTCTTCAACTTCAAAGTTTATGTGTAGCTTTCTACAGCATCACAACGCTATGGGTTTACAAAAAAAAAGTCGAATGACGGATTTCAGGGATGAGTTATCCTTTGAAATTAAAGACACGAATTTTCGTGACAGGCATCGCAACGCAAGCTAACAACTCATTTGCGTTCTTGAAAAGGATTTCAGCCGTTTTTCGATGGTTAGTCTCGCGAGAACGTAGACCAACCAGGCACTTCAATATGAAATTAGATAGAACGTTACTGCTGTATCGAATGAGCACAGAGTTTTACGAATCACGAAGTTTCATGAGCAGTCATGTACGCCAGTCTTGCATGCGCTAAGCGAGACTTGTCTCCCGCAGTATAAAATACCGAATTTGCCGAGGCAGACTATGCGGTGATGATAAGCATAATTTGGCAAGAGGCATTTTATTTTTGGAGTGAAGATATATAAAACTTATTCCGCTGAATGCAGCACACTAACAAGCATTGTGTAGCCGCTCAAAGCAATTCCAGCAAAGGCGCCCGAAACAGCCTTGTCTTCATCGAACGGGCCCGTCATATCGTTGGATACTGTACATGTCGGGTAGACGCAGACAGTGCACCTTCTGCTCTGTTGTTTAGCTTGAGCTCAGTGTATGTACTATTACGGTGCCCGGAAGCCGTCTTCGACGGCGTGTTTATAACGTCCTATCTCTCCCGTACCTCAAAAGTGGTCCCAAGCTCGTGGCAACAAATGACGTCACATAAGCAGGAGTGTGATGCTGTTGGATGTCGCCATCCCGGCGTTTAGTGCTAGAAGTCTCGGCAAAAAAGTACTTGGAATCGAGAGTGTCGCAGTCGTTGCAGAGTCCTAACTCTCAGCTGCTGCTGCTCCCGAGGACTGTCCAGCAGAACAGCGACCTGCATGAGGACACGCGTCTGGCACCACCACCACCACTCCCGCGATGCCGCCAGAATCACGGCCGTCGAAAACATGACACTTCTACGACGTCATCAGGCGAGAATCGAGGGACCAGTATTCAGGGAACAGAGGCGTCGAAGAGGTGTTCCACGCATCGTGGTACTATACTCTCGATCGAGCGAGTCACATTTTACAGGTGGAAGACGTAATCCAACTTTTCGGTTTCTGCGCCTCAAAAAAGTGAGTCCAAATTCGACGGTTCACGGCGGTCTATTTTTCAGGTGTGCGGGGCCATTCGGTCCGCAATCGACAGGCACTTTCCGCCGTCCAGCGGGGTGAAGATCATCGCCGAACCGGGCCAGTTCTTCGTCACGGCAGCGTACAGCCTGGTCGTCCGAGTCGTCGGCAAGAGACAGAGGGAGATCAGCATCGATGGTGAAGCGCCGCCAATTTTCGCTATTTCCCCGAGCCTTGTTTCATCACGAATGTTGTAGAACCGCAATCACACTGCTAGATCCAACACACAAAAGACACGGTGTTTTACGCAGATATGATGGCAGAATTATTTCTGGGGAGACACCTCGAGCAAGTTTGAATAATAATATTTCCTACGCATGTATGCATCAAGCATGACTGCAGGCAGTTCTTCTATGACCAAAGTGGCAGGACCGCCACACGTGGAAGAAACGCGCCTCAGACGGTGTCAGCACACTCCTTTTTTGTGTGGTGCGATCGATAGCGGCTGAATACTAGAAGTAGACTGAAATATTGTGCTCGCAGAAGTAATGACATGAAAAAATTCAGCTACGCGTGTTCCACAGAGACGTCAATGATGATTGTTTAAATGTGCTCCAACGACTGCAGTTGACCCAATGGCAGCGACGACCCAGACGTCTTTGTTCAGCAGACCCTTTACTAAATTCAGCCTGGCCACCTTAATCACTATCATCATCGCCACCAAAGTGGCGACTCCTTCGCCGGGGGAAGAAACTGATATAGGGGCCGGTCCGGGGGGGGGGGGGGGGGGGGGGAGGAAGGGGAGTGAAGATTTTAGTTTTTTTGCTCGATTCCCCCAAAGGTCATCCTGGTATATCCCATACCGCCTGGTGATAGTTACGAAATTGCTGACGGTAGGCAAGTCGGCGCAGGAAAGAAATAATACTTTTGGTTCTCAGTTTCTAGGACACGTGGCTGAAGCTTCCGGCTGTTATAAAGGGTACAGCCGTTAGCGTCCATCCGGCTTCTTCGGCCACCATTAGCTTTACCGCGTCAACGCTGTAACGCTACTCGGAGTGTTGTTTTTGTTAGTGATGTCGTGGTCGAAGAGCCTTTTAGTTGTGCCAAATGACCTTACCAGCGACAAAGCTGAGGGATACCACTCATCGCGAAGACTTCGACACGAGGCGATATATGCAGCCACAAGTTTATGGTCGAAAGCTACGTGCAGTACGGATCCACCGAAACTTTGTCATGCATCACACGGTGAGTACACATTTGTCCTGCTTGTGGTCGGATTCTCGTTTTTGGTTGATGTGACGCACTGCATATAGCATCGATTATCTCTAGAATGATCATGCGCGTAAATACGGCGGTGGATACGCTGATACGCTCCAAAAAGAAACCAGTTTGAACCAATCTTGCGTGCTGCTTTCGTGCATGTTAGCATGGGACACACCGTGGTTAGGGTGTAAACGTAAAGATGTTTGTTGTGAGAAATGAAAATCTAATTCTTTCTCGTTCTATTTCTTTCGTGCAGCGGTTCCTCGCTCGTGCGCGTGCGCGCATTATGTGTCCGGAGACAAAAGAAATCCGCAGCCACATACCGAATTTCAGCAGTGCTGACACATGATGGCTTCCTGGACGAGTGGACATGCCGGTGAGATGCGAGGGAGAATGGTGCATGTCATCATATTTTGGCACTTAAGGTCATCGTGCTGCTCAAGAAATGAGGATATGAAGAGGCGCCAGCTGAACTATCTTGTTCGGAGTTGTCTCAGAAGTGAGGACGACCGCGAGGGCATAAAATACCAGCGTGCATCTTTGATGAGCTTGAATGGAGGTCTGCAAGACGTGGTGGACTCACGTGGTTTGTTGCGTCGAAACTGTAGGAGGCTCGAAAGAGGCGTAGGAACGTCCAAGACGTAGAAGAGGCTGCAAGGAACTTCGGAACAGAGCTAGCTGCCCATGCTGTATCCGCATTTATAAGATAAATTCAGTTCATGCCGGCACGGGTAGCCAACTTCATCTATGGTGAGACATGTGACGGTAGCCTTCTATAGTGTCAAAAACCACTCGTTCCACCTCATTTCTTGGCGGATGTGAGCCCGGACATTCCAGTCGGTGTTACCACAGGCCCGGACATTCCACCAACTGCCACGCCATCACGACCTACATTTTTTTCCCTTGTCCTCAGTTTCTTCGGTTTCATCAGAGGACCTGCCAGCACCGGAGAGAAGCACACTTGAGGCAAGTACATAAACGAAACTGAGGTGTTATAATCATATGAGAAAGTGTCATATGCAAATATGCTACGATACATAAGAATATCTGCATATTGAAGCGTGTCAAGCCAGCAAGGTAGAAAGAGAAGGGCGAATTGAACTGGCTTGGGGTTACCAGCACAGAGAGAGGGCAAATACAAAAAGTGGCCGTCGTCCTTTTTTGTGGTGCCTTGGCTTGTTTTCTTCGCTACAAAATGTTATGTATATATTCCACCAACTTTGTAAAGGAAGTGCATGTTTAAACTGGCGTGATGATTGCCTACACTGTTCCTTTGGCACATCGACAATGTTAAGCAATCTCCTGAACAGCGCGTTCAAATGGCTCTCGTGCACTTGTTTTCTAATTTTGTTGACATTTTCGGTGGTTGTGCTCGTGGAAGGTCGCCTGGAGCTCTCTTCGTTTTAGAAGTCCATACTAAAAACAAATGTTTGCATGCACACGATAAAGAAAGCTTGTGTGGCACGGCTTCCGATGTTATCAGACTGACATCCTTGCTACGATGAGAAATGGATGTCGCCGCCCTCGACCGCTGCTGTGTGCACCGATGTGCTGCCCCCTTTTCTTTCGTATTACAAAACTATTTTTGGGGCTTTTTGATTCCACCTCGTATACCGAGCTTACAATGCTATAATACAGCAAAAAAAAAATATATATATATATATATATACGCGAGCCTTAAAAGTAGGCCTGCCTATCACCATTGTTTGCAGCCTAAGGGGCTGCCCAATGTAAACCTGAGGGCGCAGGTACGGACAACTAAGTCAAGTCAGGCGGCACTGAGGGCACTGAGCACATAGCAATATAACTCCAGCGCAACCCGACCGAATCAGCCTCAATTAAGGAGTCAGTATGCAGAGCTATATCGCAAACAAATTGATGTCGACGAAACATCACGATTTTTTACCGAATAAACGAACGCAAGCTTGTTTCGATAAAACAATTTGTCGATGAAGCATTGCACTGAATGTCATTAGATGACACTTTTGAGAACAACCCAGACTTCGCGGTTTTTAAAAGGACAACATAAACACGGATATCTTATTGAGTTCATTTTTAAAATGTGTAACGTCCACCAGCTCACTTGTGCCCTCACATTTTACTCACTGATGAACTGATTGCGACTGTTTTTTTCCTTATTTGTTGATCACTGCTGCTACCTCGCCACTGCCGATTTTTTTGCAGGCCCTAACACTATCCGCTTATGATGCTCGAAGTCTGGAATGTAGCACTCAACAACGGAACAACAGTTCTGTATGGTAAGCTGCCACTGCTGAAACCTGGAAAGATAAAGAGAGTTGTGTTTACGAGGCCATTGGATTAAGAAGTCCATGGAACGCCTGAAAGTACGACGAGCAGCGAGCAGGACCCAGAACACTCGTTTGGTCAACGAGGTAAGAGCATCTTTGACATACACTCAAACAGACGTTGAACCTCTAAGCGTGCTTTACCAAAGACTGAAACTGAGCAACACCGAGATCATGAAGCTAAATGAAGAATTGGTGCTTGCCAAGGAGCTCATTGTTGAGTGCGACGCCGTGATGGTGTACGAGCACACTGTGATCGCCTCACTGGCGTAGCTGGAACTTAGGATCGACCGAATAAAGAACGGCCCCATGACGCGCACAGACGACTCGCTGCATCGGGAGAGAGACACCGGAAGCGGTACAAGATTGCCTAAGCTGCAAATGATCACCTTCAACGGGAAACTCAGCAAGTGGCAGGAATTTTGGTATCAGTTCAGAACGACGGTTCACGATAATAGCAGCTTGTTGAGTTTTAGGAAATTTCACTACTTGTGATCTCAACTTACCGGAACGGCCGCCTCTGCTCTCTCTGGACTTGTAGCAACCGAGGAAGGTAACTTCGAGGTGATAGAGGTACTACAGAAGAGGTCTGGAGATAAAATTTAGATCGAAAAGGAGTACCTGAACAGGCTTAGAACGATACACCAGGTGAGGTCCCCAGACGATGTCGTTGGATTGCGAAAGCTACGTGATCACGCTCAGACGCATATTCAGGGGTTGACATTATAATGGGTGTAAATTCGGCGTCCTACTCGTTGATGATGTGTGAGGTTCTCTTGAAGGCGATGCCCAATGACGTAGTCGTAGTTTACTATCGACACCGAAGCTATAACGGCCCAGTGGACGCTGAGCCATCAGAGGGGACGCTGAAAAGATTTTGGAGTTCCTGTCGGTCTAAGTTGAAAGCAGAGAGCGTAGCGGACATTATGCGTTTCCTCAGAGAAATAAAGAACGACGCTCAGCTTCAAAAGGAAAGGTCTTCCCAACCTCCATGGCCCTTCACAGCAAGCTTACCTCTGATAACTGCTTTTTCTGTAGTTCTAGTGGGCACAAAACCGAAGATTGCAGACATCAAGAGGGCCTCAATGAAAAGATGACACGCTTGCCTAAAGATGGCAAGTTTTTTTCAAATGCACGACACGAGGTCACCGCGCAAGAACTTGCCGCCGTAAGGTAACTTGCGAAAACTGCAAAGGCAGGCATACCACTACAATGTGCAACCCACGGTATGCAAAACAGTCCTCGGAGGTCGGAAGAAACGAAGTGAATAGCACGAGTATTCACACAGCCTTAAAAACAAACGAAGGTTGTGATGATAACGACGATGTACATACCTCTGCAGACGTTCCGCAGGTGCCTCATGACAAAACATGAATGCTGTTACATTAGAGGCGTCATTGATAAAGGCAGTCAAAGAACCTTTATCAGAAAAGATCTGTCAAGAAGGCTGAAGCTGAAGGTAACTGGTAAAGTAAATAACGCGTTCGGAAGTGTCAGGGACAGCGAAAGGCATGAGCGAAGATTGGTCAAGATCGAACTTCAAAGTCATTACGACAATGAGAAGCACAGGATCGAGGAGATTGAAGTACCGGTCATATGCAAAGACATCGATCGGGTGCCGATGGACCA